GGAGTTGCTCTTAGCCGCGGTCGAGACCCTCAATGTCCCCTGCTCTTCTTCCTGCATAGGTGCTGCGTAAAAAGTACTTCTTCTAAACTTAGTTGGAAGATAATGACAATGCGTTCTTCAATTCCATGTATGTATGTTTGATATGAATTTCAGTTTGTGTTTCTCTTTTTTTTGTTTCATAAACCTGTTTGGAGCAAGAAATCAGAATTTTGCTCCAGTGGGAATTTTTCTTTTGTACGAATTTGAACCGTTTAATTCATGGATTTTGCACCCAATTTGTTTGTTTCTTTGAATGCTTTTGAATCTAGCCAATAAAATGTGGGTTCGCTACTTTGCCTAAATGTTCACAGGAATTGCTTGAAATTTTTGCACCAAATACAGTTTACTCCAATTTGTTTTGTACTCCAATTTCTCTTAACCTTATTCTATTGGAAAGAGTTTCCAACTATTCATCCACAGCGCTGGTTCTGGATGATGCCCACGTCGGAGTGTCAGGTATGGTAGTAGATGTAGGTTTCACACACGTTAATCTCGGGTATATAATTTAGTTAATTGATTCTTGATTTTAGTTAATTGATTCTGATTATAGTTAATTGATTCTTGATTTTAATTATTGACACAGATTTATCCCCTGCTCTTCTGTGTCCCCTGCTCTTCTTCCTGCATAGGTGCTACGTAAAAGGTACTTGTTCTAAACTTAGTGGAAGATAATGACAATACGTTCTTCAATTGCCTATGTATGTATGTATGTGGTTGATATGAATTTCAATTCGTGTTTTTCTTTTTTGCTTCATAAACCTGTTTGGAACAAGAAATCATAATTTGGCTACAGTGGGAATTTTTCTTTTTTACGGATTTGAACCGTTTAATTCATGGATTTTGATTTGGTTTTTGCACCCAATTTGTTTGTTTCTTTGAATGCTTTTGAATCTAGCCAAGAAAATGTAGGTTCGCTACTTTGCCTAAATGTTCATAGGAATTGCTTGGAAATTTTGCACCAAATACAGTTTACTCCAATTTGTTTTGTACTCCAGCACGTGAATACAATATCTTAAATGCTTACAGTATTTCTGGCTAGTTTTGTAATTCAATGGTTTATGAATTGAAATTTGCAGATCAAAAGGTAGATGTTTTGGTGATCGGAATCTCTTTGAGAAGAAGTGCAAATAATAAGTAGCTGTAGAAACTCGTAGCCTAGAATATGTTGTTTATGTTGTTAATTTGTTGTTGCTTTGCTGCTTAAGATGAGCATTGGATCTGTATATCTAGATTCCTAGCCACTAGCTCATCTTAAGCAGATCCAATGCCCATCTTAAGCAGCAAAGCAACAACAACAAATTAACAACAGAAACAACATATTCTAGGCTACGAGTTTTTACAGCTGATTATTATTTGCACTTATCCTCAGAGAGATTCCGATCACTAAAACATCTACCTTCCGAATCTGAAAATTTCAATTCATGAACCAATGAACTACAACCCTAGCCAGAAATACTGCAGGCATTTAAGATAGTGTTGGAGTACAAAACAAATTGGACTAAACTGTATTTGGTGCAAAAATTTCAAGCAATTCCTGTGAACATTTAGGCAAAGTAGCGAACCTACATTTTCTTGGCCAGATTCAAAAGCATTCAAAGAAACAAACAAATTGGGTGCAAAAACCAAATCAAAATCCATGAATTAAACGGTTCAAATCCGTAAAAAAGAAAAATTCCCACTGTAGCCAAATTATGATTTCTTGTTCCAAATAGGTTTATGAAGCAAAAAAGAAAAACACGAATTGAAATTCATATCAACCACAAACATACATACATACATAGGCAATTGAAGAACGTATTGTCATTATCTTCCACTAAGTTTAGAACAAGTACCTTTTACGTAGCAGGAAGAAGAGGAGGGGACACAGAGGAGCAGGGGATAAATCTGTGTCAAGAATTAACATGAGTCAATAATTAAAATCAAGAATCAATTAACTATAATCAGAATCAATTAACTAAAATCAAGAATCTATTAACTAAATTATATACCCGAGATTAACGTGTGTGAAGCCTACATCTACTACCATACCGGACACTCCAACGTGGGCGTCATCCAGAACCAACGTTATGGATGAATAGTTGGAAACTCTTTCCAATAGAATAAGGTTTAGAGAAATACCAAAAGGAACCACAAAACAAAAACAGGCAACAAAGTAATATATCACTCTTGCTAAATTTTGTAACCACTACAACCTCGAACATCCCATGTTTTCTCAAAGTACTGAATCTTCACTGCAACAACAAAGTTCGGTTTAATGGGAGCTGCATTAAGTATGATTAACCAATCAACAATCAGTTTACTTCTAAATACAAAACATTCCAATGTGCTAATATTTTCTCGATTTTAAATGGATTCTCATGAGCCGCATGAAGTATGATTCACAACATGATCGCGACTACTTACAAATCATAAAACCAAACCAAAATCCAACAACAACTCTATCTAAACATCAACATGACAAAGAAAGATAACTCATAACCCAATTTCAAATATTCATTTTTCGACTCGAGGACTATGCAAATCACGAGATCCTCACTCCACTCAGTCCACAAAGAAACTAAAAAGAAGCATAAACCCATAATTTCCAATGTGTCAAACACCTCCTTCTCCAAGATCTCTGAAACTAAACCCTAAATTACTATTAACCCAAAACACACCATCAACTCAATACAAAAAACCCCACAAAGCTTTCATTAAAAAAGTACAAAAATCAAACAACCCAGAACATCAATCAGATTTCAATCACAAAATCAATCAAACAATTAAAATTGGAGCAAAATTACCGGAATGTATTTGAATTTTCGGTGGGGCAGCTCCTCGCTCGCATCAAAAAGGCCGTCGTCCTTGGCAGAAACCTTGACCCTGTCCCCTCCATTGGCGACTGCGCCATAACTAATGGTAGCGTTTTGGCTTTGGGCAATCAACAATCAGTTTACTTCTAAATACAAAACATTCCAATGTGCTAATCTTTTCTTGATTCTAAATGGATTCTCATGAGCCGCATGAAGTATGATTCACAGCAGGATCGCGACTACTTACAAATCATAAAAACCAAACCAAAATCCAACAACAACTCTATCTAAACATCAACATCAACTCTATCTAAACATCAACATGACAAACAAAGATAACTCATAACTCAATTTCAAATATTCATTTTTCGACTCAAGGACTATGCAAATCACGAGATCCTCACTCCACTCAGTCCACAAAGAAACTAAAAAGAAGCATAAACCCATAATTTCCAATGTGTCAAACACCTCATTCTCCAAGATCTCTGAAACTAAACCCTAAATTACTATTAACCCAAAACACACCATTAACTCAATACAAAAAACCCCCACAAAGCTTTCATTAAAAAAGTACAAAAATCAAACAACCCAGAACATCAATTAGATTCCAATCACAAAATCAATCAAACAAGTAAAATTGGAGCAAAATTACCGGAATGTATTTGAATTTTCGGCGGGGCGGCTCCTCGCTCGCATCAAAAAGGCCGTCGTCCTTGGCAAAAACCTTGACCCTGTCCCCTCCATTGGCGACTGCGCCATAACTAATGGTAGCGTTTTGGCTTTGGGCAATCAACAATCAGTTTACTTCTAAATACAAAACATTCCAATTCGCTAATCTTTTCTCGATTCTAAATGGATTCTCATGAGCCGCATGAAGTATGATTCACAGCAGGATCGCGACTACTTACAAATCATAAAAACCAAACCAAAATCCAACAACAACTCTATCTAAACATCAACATCAACTCTATCTAAACATCAACATGACAAACAAAGATAACTCATAACTCAATTTCAAATATTCATTTTTCGACTAGAGGACTATGCAAATCACGAGATCCTCATTCCACTCAGTCCACAAAGAAACTAAAAAGAAGTATAAACCCATAATTTCCAATGTGTCAAACACTTCCTTCTCCAAGATCTCTAAAACTAAACCCTAAATTACTATTAACCCAAAACACACCATCAACTCAATACAAAAAAACCCCATAAAGCTTTCATTAAAAAAGTACAAAAATCATACAACCCAGAACATCAATTAGATTCCAATCACAAAATCAATCAAACAAGTAAAATTGGAGCAAAATTACCGGAATGTATTTGAATTTTCGGCGGGGCGGCTCCTCGCTCGCATCAAAAAGGTCGTCGTCTTTGGCAGAAACCTTGACCCTGTCCCCTCCATTGGCGACTGCGCCATAACTAATGGTAGCGTTTTGGCTTTGGGCAATCAACAATCAGTTTACTTCTAAATACAAAACATTCCAATGTGCTAATCTTTTCTCAATTCTAAATGGATTCTCATGAGCCGCATGAAGTATGATTCACAGCAAGATCGCGACTACTTACAAATCATAAAAACCAAACCAAAATCCAACAACATATGGAATGAACGAATTCCTTTTATTTCCAAAACACACACCTAATTTTATCTTAGGGCAACACAATAATGATGCTGCTTCCATTTGTATTTGTGTGTGAGAGAGGAGGGTTTCTACTGAGAAACTTGTTTGAGAGGAAGGAGACTGATCAATTTTTATTCATTGTTAACATCACTAATTAGGATATTCGGGGTAAAGTAGGAGTAGCCGAAATTGAAGGAAAGATGAGAGAAAATCGGTTACGGTGGTTTGGACATGTGCAAAGAAGGCCTACTGACGCTCCGATTAGAAGATGCGACTATGGGACAGAGGTTCAGGGCCGAAGGGGTAGAGGAAGACCCAGGAAAACTTTGAGAGAGACCCTAAGAAAAGACTTAGAGTACTTGGATCTAACGGAGGACATGACACAGGACAGAACACAATGGCGTTCTAAGATTCATATAGCCGATCCCACTCAGTGACTTGGATTTTCCAAGTCTCCAACCGAGAAGTTGTCCTCGCTCGGGAAATTAAGGGAACACTACCTCAACCTACATGCTCCACTCACAAAGCTCCAACATACAAGCTTCAACAAAAGAAAATTCAAAGAACTTAGCGAACAAGGCTTTGGTGATTTAACACAATACGTTGAAATGAAGGAAAGCTTATTTATTGATATCCCCGATAAATTACAAATATGTACATATACTTAAGTCAAAATAAACAAACAAGAGGGAGCCTTCACAAAGGTTGCTTAGGAGAAGTCTCGGCAGTCGGTAGAGCCCCAGAAAGAGAAGGCACCGGAGGGGGATCATTCGGAGCCTCAGTACTGGACAGAACCCTAGAAGAAGGAGGCATCAGAGGTTGATCATTTGGAGCTTCATTACGCGGCACAGCCCCAGAAGACGAAGGCAATAAATGCCTTTGGAACAAACCCACAAATCTTTGATGATCAAGTAAAACCTGACCATCAGATTCCTTCATCTGGTCAAGCTTCCTCTTCATGTTTGTAGCATAGTCATGTGCGAGCCGGTGCAACTGTTTATTCTCATGCTTGAGCCCTCTAATCTCCTGTTTGAGACTCATCACTTCAGCCGCCAATGATTCAACTTGGCGGGTTCGAGCAAATAGGCGTTGGGCCATATTAGACACAGAACCTGCACACTGAACACTAAGAGCTAGAGAATCCTTAACAGCCAACTCATCAGACCGTTTGGAAAGTAGTCTGTTATCTTTGGGAGTGAGAAGGTTCCTGGCCACTACCGCAGCGGTCATATCATTCTTCATCACGGAATCCCCAACGGTAAGAGGACCAGTAGGGGAGACGAAGGATGGGCGCCATATGTTGTCTGGAGAAGGCGAGGCTGCCTCTTCAACAAGGTTCAAGTCAAAACGACGGTCGGATGGGCCAGACATTTTCAAAGGTGTAGAAGAGAGAAGAGGTCGGACAAATCAAGATCTTAGAAGTGCAAGAATGGAGCTTCTACTGGTGGATATTCAAGTGTGCTTTGGAACTTAATGTCAGCCTCTATAAAAATCTGCACTCGACGAAGCTTCAGAAATCGAAGAGGCGTTTGCTTTCTCAAAAGCTGGGCTGCTCAGAGACCACGAGGGTCGATCTCAGAAATCGAAGAGGCGTTTGCTTTCTCAAAAGCTGGGCTGCTCAAAGACCACGAAGGTCGATCTCAGAAATCGAAGAGGTTTGCTTTCTCAAAAGCTGGGCTGCCCAGAGACCACGAGGGTCAATCTCAGAAATCGAAGAGGTTTGCTTTCTCAAAAGCTGGGCTGCTCAGAGACCACGAGGGCCGATCTCAGAAATCGAAGAGGCACCAACTTTTCCAGCCTTGTCAGCACCTGTCACACGCACATTCAGCTTTGCGGAAATTATGGGCATTCTGTCGAAGATTTCTGGCGAAGTAGAAAGCCCATGAATCGTATTGTTCAATCATCCACTTCCCACACGCAACAGTAGCTCATGGGTACCACATATAACTTTGCCAAAGTTCTCTGACAAAGTTGAGACTACTTTTCCAGCCTTGTCAGCACCTGTCACACGCACACTCAGCTTTGCGGAAATTATGGGCATTCTGTCGAAGATTTCTGCCGAAGTAGAAAACACATGAATCGTACTGTTCAATCACCCACTTCCCACACGCAACAGTAGCTCATGGGTACCACATATAACTTTGCCAAAGTTCTCTGACAAAGTCGAGACACGTGAAGCTTGCAACTCTCACTACATCGCTCTGACCAAGAAGGGTAAAAGAATAGCAAAGAAACAACACTAACAAAGTTTAGACACATAAATTTTGAAGGCCTAGCTACCATATTATTACCCACAAGGGTAAAGGAACAGTACCACTGCTGGATAATTGGAAAGTCTCGGTGTGTCAACCTCTGTGCTTCATGGCAAGGTAGACTAGCAAACATGCCCAACCTTTACTCACATTCGAGAAAACACTCCCAACAAGATTGTTTGCCCCAAAATCGAAGAGGCATCGCCCTCCGAATCTCGAGAGCCAGACTCCCAACATGATTACTTTCTCAAAAATCGAAGAGAGGGTAAAGGAACAGTACCACTGCTGGATAATTTGAAAGTCCATGTGTGTCAACCTCTGTGCTTCGTGGCAAGGTAGACTAGCAAACATGCCCATACTTTACTCACATTCGAGAAAACACCCCTAACAAGATTGCTTGCTCCAAAATCGAAGAGGCATCGCCCTCCGAATCTCGAGAGCCAGACTCCTAACATGATTACTTTCTCAAAAATCGAAGAGAGGGTAAAGGAACAGTACCACTGCTGGATAATTGGAAAGTCCCTGTGTGTCAACCTCTGTGCTTCGTGGCAAGGTAGACTAGCAAACATGCCCAACCTTTACTCATATTCGAGAAAACACTCCCAACAAGATTTCTTGCTCCAAAATCGAAGAGGCACCGCCCTCCGAATCTCGAGAGCCAGACTCCCAACATGATTACTTTCTCAAAAATCGAAGACACCGCTCTCCGAATCTCGAGAGCCACACCCCCAGCATGATTGCTTTCTCAAAAATCGAAGAGGCATCGTTCTCCGAATCTCGAGAGCCAGATCCCCGACATGATTGCTTGTTCGAAAACCGAAGAGGCACCACTTTCCCAACTTCAAGAGCCGGATCTCCTTGGATAAAGCTTGTCTGTAATCTTCACACGCAACATCAGCTTTCCAGATACCACAGACCACTTTTTCAAAGTGCTCTGACAGAGTTAAAACTTGTGAAGCTGGCAGCTCCCACTACCGTGCTATGACCAAGCAGGGTAAATGAATAGCATTATTACTTGATGTTAGGGAGACTCCTATATATGTCGACCTCCATCCCCAACGGACAGGCAGACCTGCAAAAATGCTCAACCCTTCCTCTTATCTGAGAGGGCACTCCCAACAAAGCCTTTCGAAATATTCAGCTTTCTTTCCCCCCGATAATACCTCTGTAAACAAGCTATACTAGAGCAAGAATATCTCATATCATCAGGGTTAAAAGCAAGAGTATCACATATCATGCTTTTTCCCTGTCTTTTCCTTTGGCCTTGTTCTTACCTGCAAGACAAGGAGAAAGAGAGCAATCAGTCAGCACTTGGAATCAAGCTTCCAGCCAGGAACTGACTGCCTGGAACCCCCTACCCTGGCATTACTCTCGAGTACTCATCTTCAACATCTTATGCTTCCAGGGAAGATACCGCATCTGCCTGAGGAACAGATAGGGCAAGTGAGAAGGATACAAGGAAGCATGTGGAGACAAGCGTAACAGCACACGTGCCGATACATCCACTACTCTGTCAAAAGCAAAAGTATCCCATATCAGCAGGGTCGAACGTACTCTAGATTTGATGGACTTGTTTTGACCCTCAAATTCTTCAGTCGGCCTTATACTTTGGAGGAAACCAGAAAACCCTCCAGCCCAGTTCAAGAATAAGCCTGTGGAAAGTTACTTCTTCAAAAGCAAAAGTATCCCATATCATCTCTTCTCATTTTTCTTCTCTTTATCCTTCATGCTGCCTGCAAGATAGGGAGAATGTGAACAATCAGCCGGAGCTCTGATTGCTTACCTTGTCTGTTACCTCTTTCAGCAGATCCCCTAGCTCGGCGACTTAGGGGACTCCTACTACATGGTTTGTATCGCGCTTGACCAAGCCTGAAACTACAAGTAAGCTTCAAGTGACATTGATACATTACCTTGTGCATCTCCACCAGTTACAGATACCACCCCTGGATGGAGGAAGAGTACTTCCAGAGAAGATTCCACATCTACCTATGAGACAGATAAAGAAAGTCAAGACGATACCACACTCCGGTACTTAGAAGTTTCGTGGTTACGAGATCATTCTCCCACAATATTTCCTAATGTCATTTGTACTAAATCATTCACTTGTACTCCATAAAGGAGAGCTTGAACCTATGTACTTGTGTAAACCTTTCACAATTAATGAGAACTCCTCTATTCCGTGGACGTAGCCAATCTGGGTGAACCACGTACATCTTGTGTTTGCTTTCCTATCTCTATCCATTTATATACTTATCCACACTAATGACCGGAGCAATATGGAGAAGATCATAAAAAGTGACCGTTTTCGCTACCTAGGATCTATCTTGCAAGAGAACGGAGAATTAGATGGAGATCTCAACCATAGAATACAAGCTGGATGGATGAAGTGTAAGAGTGTATCCGGCGTGTTGTGTGATCGTCGTAGGCCACTGAAGCTCAAGGGAAAATTTTATAGGACGGCAATAAGGCCAACGATGTTGTATGGCACAGAATGTTGGGCGGTGAAGCATCAACACGTACACAAAATGGGTGTAGCGGAGATGAGGATGCTTCGTGGGATGTATGGGCACACGAGAAAGGATAAGATTGGGAATGAGGATATCCAAGGTAAAGTAGGAGTAGCCAAAATTGAAGGAAATATGAGAGAAAATCGGTTCCGGTGGTTTGGACATGTGCAAAGAAGGCCTACTGACGCTCCGGTTCGAAAATGTGACTACGGGACAGAAGTTCAGGGCCGAAGGGGTAGAGGAAGACCTAGGAAAACTTTGGAAGAGACCCTAAGAAAAGACTTGATTACTTGGATCTAACGGAGGACATGACACAAAACCGAGCGCAATGGCGTTCTAGGATTCATATAGCCGACCCCACTTAGTGGGAAAAGGCTTTGTTGTTGTTGTTGTTGTTGTTGTTAACATCACTAATTACTGTGTGAAGCTTAATTACCTAACAACTCGTTAAATAAGTCCATATATAATAATATATATATATATATATATATATATATATATATATATATATATATATATATATATATATTAGAATGATGTTTACAGACGCAACCTTTTTGTTTAACTTTGTGAGGGAAGAGAGAAAACCATATACGGGAGCTTTAATTCAAATTAGCACATATCCAAACTCCAATTCAATAAACCACATATCCAATTCAAACTACATGGCTAATATTCAAGACTTTAATCACATTCACCATAAAAAAGTTGCATCTTTTTCACTTTATTTTTCCAGACTTTAATCACATGAATTTAAGCAACAAAAGAAGGAACCAAAAGAAACAGAAAAGTACCTGAAGACATTCAAGGGTCGGAAAACTGGTTGATTTGAACGGCCGGAATTCAGCTGAGCTGAAATGGAGGTGGGGTGGTCAGTTGTGGAAGTGTCTGGGTGTGTGTGCGCGAAGGAACCCTACCCCTAGCCCTCCCTCCCTGCCTCGCCGTCTCTCTGCGCACCCGTTGTCGACAACAAACAAAACCAAACTTTTGGGCACCCCTACCCCTCCGTCTTTCCTCCCATCCCGTTTGCAAAGCAGGACTCTCCCTCTCTCCTCTCCTCTCACCCACGACTCTTCCATCTCTCCTCTTCTCTCTGCCATTCTGCAAGCCGCAGAGGCTCTGTGGACGAGTCACCGCATCCACCTCACTCCATACCAACCGAAACCAACCAAAACAAACCCAGCCACAGCCCAAACCCGAAGCCCATTAGCCCAAACCCAAAAGACAAACCCCAGCCCGAACCCATACCTTCCACAAAGCCCACTCATCAAAGCAATGGCATAGCTGTAATTAAACTAAAATCCAGGTACAAACGCTGTTCATTTGGACGGTGCCAATTGCAATGCTTTCTTTAGACTAAAGTAATGTCGTCGGATTCACCTATTTCCTTGATGCCGCCTTTCTTTCCAATGCTGCTACTACAAAATTTGTCATAAACATATGCTGCTCCCAATCCGTTCATTACAAGGAACAAAAAAATATCAACATTTTATTGGTATATTTTGAACAAGATTATGCCTTTGAATTTGTACTCTTTTCTCCCAAATAATGTGAACAAACTGAAGTTTTTTTTTTCTTCCAATTTTGGGAATTAATTGACAAATAATTATATCACAGGCATTCGACGTGAAGAACAAAGTGCCGACTGTTGACTAGCTAACGCATTCCCACTCCTCCTTATCCGGGCTTGGGACCCGCAACGTAAGCAGCGGTGGAGTCATGATTTTGTAGCAATGGGGGCGTGACAAAGAAGTTCTCAAATACTGGTTCTTCACATATATTTTAGGCTATATGCACATCTGACATAGATATAATTTTTTTTTTATCTCAAATTTAATTTTCTATATATCTTAGACCTTCCGATTCTTCTTCATCCAATGTTTAATGTTGAAAGAGGTTTCAGATTCGAATCCCAACCTCATTGATTGAAAACAAAATTATAGTGCTCCATAGTTTTCTTTTTAAGCCAAACATCAACCAAACATGCATGCTTATTTTATTGTAGTTACATATCAGATACTCTAATTAATACAAATTTATAGTGGCTTTAGTTACGCATCATATATTCTTCACGAGTTGTAGCATCTTTGTATGAATTCCTTGGGGTAGATACCAAAATATGGTGGTAACAAAGGCATCTTGTTGGGGTCAGAAGCATGCATTGCCCCCACGGGTCCTCCGCTAGTGACGTAAGACAAACTTATACAGGCGGAGTTTTCAAATATGGAGTACTTGAAGCTAACGAAAGACTGTACACAATACCGCCAATTCTAAAGTGTACTTTGAGGTGTGCTTATAGCTCATGAGTTTAGTCAATTAATTAGGATAGTGTGTTCGTTCGTTATCTTACAACAACATGATAATACTTGTATATTTTTTGCTCTTTCAAAAATGTTTTGTTTTCGTGTAACTAAGTTATAAACGACATAAATAGTAGATTTTAAAATAAGGTGGGAAAATACGAACAATGTGTAAAATTAAAGGAAGAAAGAAAATAAAATGCAATTTGTTACACATAAATAACTAAAATTAAGTCACAAAAGAAAGAGCTAATGAAAACACAAAAGAACGAGTGAAAAAAATAGACTTTGATTGGATAAAAAGATAGATAATTAAATAAGAAGAAGAAAAAAAAGAGGGAAATAAAATAAATACGAGAAGAGAAAACGCGCGGGAACGCCACGCTGGCCATCCGCGTGAAACAGTTGATCCCGAAAAATGACGGCAGGGATTAAAAGACGAAAAACGACGGCCAGGATTAGAAGACGTTTGAGTTGCATAAAGCGATGGCCAAGATTAGAAGGCGATTGAGTTGTTTAATCCCTGCGGTCCAGTTCATCGGAAGCCTTTCGCCAAAAATCCAGATCCACGTCCCTGATCTCTCTCCCTGCAAATCCAAAAATGTCGTCGTCGGTGATGGTTTCGATGGCCGATTTCCTGGCCATGGAAGATTGGTGCGAAAAGCTGGCGTCGAAGATTTCGCAGTCCACAGAATGCTTCGCAGAAAAGGCGAAGAAGGTTCATCGCATCGTTCGGGTTGTCGTGGAAAGTCGTGTCGATTTGGAATCTCTGATGGATTTATAGAAGCAGAAGAAGGATCAGTGGTATAAGAGAAACAGAAAATGGGAACCAACTGTTGTGATAAGCAGATATCCCAAGGACAGCTCCGATGCCGGTCAATTGCAGCATCTTGCTGCTCAAGAAGGGATCATAGGAGCAGAGATTATGGAGCTGAGGGAGGCGTCGAGGAAACACGACCGGCAGGTGGAAAGTTGCGGTGACGTAAAGGCGGCGTTCAAGATTTTGGCGAAATTGAACAAGCGGAGGGAAAAGCTTGAGGTGATGAGGACCTCCATGAGCGAGTTAGTGCGGTAGCTGGAGGCCGGTGCATCGGGACCGAAGAGCAGGCTATGGCCGTCAGCCGCCTGAGGGAGTTTCTCAGCACATCGTCTCTGTGCGTTCTGGACGACGCCAACATCGGAGTGTCCGGTACGGTAGCAGATGTGGCAGGCTTCACACGCGTTAATATAGGGTATATAATTTAGTTAATTGATTTTGATTGTAGTTAATTAATTCTGATTTTAATTATTGTTAATTCTTGACACAGATTTATCCCCTGCTCCTCAGTGTCCCCTGCATAGGTGCTGCGTTAAAAGGTACTTGTTCTAAATAATACGTTCTTCAATTTGTGGTTGATATGAATCAGTTGGTGTTTTTCTTTTGTTAATTTTTGTTGTTACTTTTGCTGCAATGGATCTGTATATCTAAATTCCTAGCCTTGCCCCAGCAGCTAGAGCTGGTGGCTCAGTGTGGCGCAAGCACAACAAACAAAGTAAATTCTCCCGACTTATGTGTCCTAGTCTTTCTTACTAGTTATTAGTTGCAAATGTTCTTGTTGATACGTATCCCAGAAATGACAACCGGAGATGTTACTTCTGTTGGCCGAGGTGCGTTTGAGGATCTCAACCGCACAAGCACAACAAATAAAGTCATCGTTACAGATTAGAAACAAATTTTAATATGTTTGGGTGTCACGTTACATGTGTGAAACTGCTTTTTTGAGTTGTTTAAGTGGTTTTTGCCAATTGTTACAATTAGTTAATGGGTTAGTGCGCAGGTCAGTGAGGGGTGTATGGCTTTTCCCTCTGATTCAATAGGTTACGCACTGTTTGACAATAATTGTTAGTTGTTTTCCTTGGTTAGAACCATCATTCAATTTTTGGGTTTCATTGTCCTCATTTCTGTGCTTCTTCAAAATTTTCTGGTGTTTGCTTCTCATTCCTCTGTTGGTTGATTTTTTTTCTTCCCATTTCTTGGTTCTATCTAATTTTTGGGTTGTGGGATGATGCTTGCAGGTGAACGGTTTTTTGGGACGAGTTAAGAAGATACACATGAAAACAGCATAGAAGATAGAGAACTAGTATGTTGATTTGTCTTTCTGTTGGATTTTTATGTTTATGTTCTGTTGCTAAGAGGATTTTAACATGTTCTTGAATATTAGCCATGTTGTTTGGATTGAATATGTGATTGAATATTGGAGAAGATACCATCTTGCTTGATTTCAATTAAAGACTACTAATTTAATCGGTTTATATATAGTTTGTTTATGTTTAAGATGTATTTTGTTCGAATCTCTGAACTGAACAATGCATTCATAACCTCTAGGTCCGTATCATGCCTGGTGGGTTACCTGTGAACATCACTCTAATATATATATATATAAGTCCACATACATATATATATATATTTCCAAAACGCACACCTAATTTTATCTTAGGGCAACACAACAACTACCCATTGATGCTGCTTCCATTTGTATTTGTCTGTCAGAGAGGAGGGTTTCTACTGAGAAACTTATTTGAGAGGAAGGAGACTGATCAGTTTTTATTCATTGTTAACATCACTAATTACTGTGTGAAAGCTTAATTACCTAACTACTCCTTATATAAAGGATGCACTGTTCAGTTCAGAGATTCGAACAAAATACATCTTAAACATAAACAGACTTTATATAATCCGATTAAATTAGTAGTCTTTAATTGAAATCAAGCAAGATAGTATCTTCTCCAATATTCAATCACATATTCAATCCAAACAACATGGCTAATATTCAAGAACATGTTAAAATCCTCTTAGCAACAGAACATAAACATAAAAATCCAACAGAAAGACAAAGCAGCATACTAGTTCTCTATCTTCTATGTTGTTTTCATGTGGATCTTCTTAACTCGTCCCAAAAAACCGTGCACCTAGTTCACCTGCAAGCATCATCCCAGAACCCAAAAATTAGACAGAACCAAGAAATGGGAAGAAAATAAAAAAAAATCAACCAACAGAGGAATGAGAAGCAAACACCAGAAAATTTTGAAGAAGCACATAAATGAGGACAATGAAACCCAAAAATCGAATGATGGTTCTAACCAAGCAAAAGGAAAACAACTAACAATTATTGTCAAACAGTGCATAACCTATTAAATCAGAGGGAAAAACCGAAAAGCCAAACCCTGCCATACACCCCTCTCTGACTCTCTCCTCACTGACCCTGCGCACTAACCCATTAACTAATTGTAACAATTGGCAAAAACCACTTAAACAACTCAAAAAAGCAGTTTCACACGGGTAATGTGACACCCAAACATATTAAAATTTGTTTCTAATCTGTAACGATGACTTTATTTGTTGTGCTTGTGCTTGTGCGGTCGAGATCCTCAAACGCATCTCGGCCAGCAGAAGGAACATCTCCGGTTGTAATTTCCGGGATACGTATCAACAAGAACATTTGCAACTAATAACGCAATTAATAATAACTAGTAAGAAAGACTAGGACGCGTAAGTCGGGAGAATTTACTTTGTTTGTTGTGCTTGTGCGACACTGAGCCACCAGCTCTAACTGTTGGGGCAAGGCTAGGAATTTAGATATACAGATCCATTGCAGCAAAAGCAACAACAACAAAGATTCATATCAACCACAAATTGAAGAACGTATTATTTAGAACAAGTACCTTTTAACGCAGCACCTATGCAGGGGACACTGAGGAGCAGGGGATAAATCTGTGTCAAGAATTAACAATAATTAAAATCAGAATCAATTAACAAAAATCAAGAATTAATTAACTACAATCAGAATCAATTAACTAAATAATATACCCTATATTAACGCGTGTGAAGTCTGCCTCACGTGCCACATCTGCTACCGTACCGGACACTCCGACGTCGGCGTCGTCCAGAACCAGAACGCACAGAGACGATGTGCTGAGAAACTCCCTCAGGCGGCTGACGGCCATAGCCTGCTCTTCGGTCCCGATGCGCACAGATGCACCGGCCTCCAGCTACTGCACGAACTCGCTCATGGAGGTCCTCACCACCTCAAGCTTTTTCCTCCGCTTGTTCAATTTTGCCAAAATCTTGAACGCCGCCTTTACGTCACCGCGACTTTCCACCCGCCGGTCGAGCAAACTTGAAAAACGGAAATCTACATAAAAGCAAGCCCGGAAGTGTTCAATCGTTGGACCTCTATGCTGTTCCACCACATTATCTACCCAACTGACGTATCTATGCTGCTCTTGGTCTTTTAGTTCTGGTTCCATTACCATGAAGCGAAATAAATATTCACCAAGTTCAAATTTAGCATCCAGATCGAGATTCATAGTGGACGACCACACATACTGCCATCGTCTAGAAAGGATACTGGTAGCTGCTGCTTCCTTAAGTGGCAATACTAGAAAGTATTTCATCACGCAACTCACTAATTCTGTCCACCAAATTGTTGTTTTGGCCCTTATTTTTCTCCTTTATTCCCAAGTTTTTCTTTTTTCTTTTTGGCATGTCTCTACTCCGCCGATAAAGGTTCCTAGCAGAGGCTGCTCCCGTTAGCATGAAACGTGAGAATTGAAGATTATTTGGCAAACGACGACTGATTTTGCCCACCGCGTTGCACTTGCCCTTATTTTTCTCTTTTGTCCCCAAGTTTTTTCCTATTTTTGTTGCCTTTCCTCTCGTCCCGAAGTTGTGCTCATTCTTCTAATAGATCAACATGCCAACGCCAAAGGGAAAACAACGACAACAAACCGCGTAAGGACTAAGGAGTGTTCATCAAGTTCGGATAATACTTACATCCCCATATACGTATTTTCATGAATATATTTCATAAAAAAAAACCGTTCAGTTTCTTAATCATCATTTAAATGTCATTCGTACGAAAAATCTTTCGAATTGGAGGTTCTGAAATTGAACAGTTCCGATCATGAATTTTCTAAGATGAATGAATGTAGATTATTAGCAATGGGGGGATGCAAGTAGTATCTTTTGCGGAAAGCAACGGACAAATTCGATATGTGGAAAAATATAAAGATTCAATTTTTAGATGGTGGTATGCGCGTTTGGTATATGGCAAACAGAAAGATGCAATTTTTCATAACAATTAGATATCTATGAAAGAGACGAGAAGAAAAAAAAAGTGAACTTGGGAGTTTTGAATCTGTAAAAATAAAGGTGTGTACCTTGCTTTTGGAAAATTGAGAAGCTGGGCACCCCCTTTTGTTCATCAGATCTGGCAGTGGCAGGGCAGCGTTTCCGTTGAGGTTGTTTCCTGGTCCGAACGGATCTCACTCTGCGATGCTAGCTTCTAGGTTAGAGAGGATAGAGAAAGTCGAGCCCGGAAGAGAGAGAGGAGAAAGACAAAACTATCTTGTTTGCTTTGTCGAAGTGTACTTTTAGCCAAATTTAGGAGAGTTCCAGAATTTGAGATATTTTTATTTCTTTTAATAAATTTAGGAGTATTTAATTAGAATTTTAAATGATTATTTAAAATTTAATCTATATTCAATCAAGATTTAATTATAGTTTATTAAAATTCTTAGAAATATTGCTGTATTCAATTATGATTTCAAAAAGTTTGTAACGTTGTGCTCAATTAGGAATTTATTTTAAAGTATTTTAAAATGTTGATGAATTTGGGGGAATTTGAGAGATTTCGTAATGCAATTCAAGCATTCAGAAAATTCACCTTTCCTTGAGATTTCTAAGGAATTAAATCAAAATTATGAAAAGTAAATAATAGTTCAAATTTAACATAACAGGTGGAGAAAAAAAATTTAAAAAAAAAGAAATCAAAGTGCTATATAAGAGATGTGTATTTAATTGGGAATTTGAGAGATTTAAATAGATTTATAAATCCATTGATTTTTATGAAATTTAATTGATTTATAGAGATTTTCATGTAAAATTTTAATTCAATTCCCTCAAAATCTCATGGGGAATTGTGATATTTGTGGATATTTAAAATATACTATGAAATCTCTCAATTTTCCCTCTAACTCCTCTTTTTTTTTTAAATTCTTTAAAATCAAATTCTAATTGAATATTCATGGAATGTTATAAACTTATCTAAAATACTTATTAAATACATCTGAATTTCTGAGAATTTTAATAAACTATCTTAAAATCTCGATTCAATACACATTGAATTTCAATAAATCATTTAAAATTCCGATTGAATGCCACTAGATTCATTAAAATAATTAAAATCCTTCAAAATCTCAATTGAAGTAAGCCTTTAAATTTGATAATAATTAAACCAAAACAAAATTCTAAATAATAATAAATAAATGTGACTTTCAAAACACAAAACCCAATTATAGGAAATATATATTTATATATATATATATATAATTACTCAGTACTACGATCTTGTGATATTTTTCTTTACTTTAAAGTAGAGGTCTTAAGTTCCAATTTCAAATCTCATGAATAACGAATTCGATACAAATTAATCTGCTTATGTGACTTATCCGAACTCTTCTTAGTAAAAAAACGCAAAAACCCTAACAAGCGGCGCCGGTCCACCGTTCAGGCTTTGCTTAACCGGTCCTTAGGCCTAGCCCAAAAGTAACAAATATAACCCAATAATAAACAAATAAATATAAAATTAACAATTAAAAAACACCAAAACCCGAAGAAAATGAAAGACAAAGAATCAACAGTAACACTCACTTTGAGTTCCGCCGCGACTCCGTTCTCGTCCATCTCTATGTGAAGGTTTCAAAGATTGATTCTGCTGCTTCCTCTCCTCTCAGACACATTCCAAACGCTTCAGAACTAAATATTCTGTCTGTCTTTCGATGGAAGCTCAGCGTCTGCTTTCTGGGTTCTGCTCAGCCTCGCCGATTCCAAACGCCAGAACCCAATACTTCGTCAGATTTCCCTCCCCTTCTCCTTCTTCTTCTTCCTCCACCGCTTCTTTTGCTCAATCCCACATGTGGGTCTCCTTCAAAGCTCGCCCTTTGTCTACCAAGTTAATACAGTGCAGGAACACCGCGGACACAGAGAGAGCTGAGGTGATGGTTTCTTCGGATAAACAAGATTTGACAGGTGGGATTCGACGGAAAAAGCTTGCCGTTTTTGTTTCCGGCGGGGGCTCCAACTTCCGTTCGATCCATGAAGCGTGTCTTAACGGTTCAATTCTCGGAGACGTTGTCGTTTTGGTCGCTAGTAAACAAGGTATCCTCCACTCTCAAGTGCTTTTTGTCATGCCAGTAATCCAGTTTGCTTTTCTTACTCGATAATCTGGTTGCAATTGCTCGATCTTAACGTTTGTTGTTATCGCTTGCTCAAATTTTGGTCTTCCTTTTTTTATTGTCGTATCAAGGCAAAATCGGGCATATAGATTGAATGAAAAACTTTTTTGTAGTCACATGTTTTAGCATTCTTTCAATGGCAGCATTGTTGTTGGAGATAGATTACATGCTTTTAGAATGAGTGTTTAGTGCTTTTCTAGGGAGCACTTAGATTGTGAATAAAAATGGTCTTAGGCTTCTGGCAAAAGCACTTATGAGCAGGAGTGCTTCCTGCAAATGCATTTCCGAGCCAGTGCCCTTAGACTTGTTCAGAAGGCTTGTTTCAAAATGCCTACATTGGCACTTGGGGTTTCGGCTGCTAATGATAGAGTGTGGTAAAAGCAAGTTAGGAACTTCAAAATATGTTGTAGAAATCATTGATGGGAATATTGTATATTCATTCAGGTGTACTGAATTGTATTTTGCTTGTCAGGTTGCGGAGGTGCCGACTATGCAAGAGAAAAAGGCCTCCCAATTCTGGTGTTCCCGAAAACTAAACTTGAGCCTGACGGAATATCTCCAGCTGACCTTGTTGCTACCCTTAGGTCAGCCTCTTCAACAGCTCAAAACTTTTGTATTCAAGTTTCTCTCTCTCACTTGGGTATTTAGAGTGTCGAACCATCTGCTTATATGCTACTTGTTCGATTACATCCCTCAAAGAGGAGGCTGAGGCAGGGGCAAATATTGATACAAATGCATTAGCATTGGTGCTTTTAGTTTCGGGTGCCTTTATTGGCACCCAATTTTTAAATGTTAACCTGGTCATTTTATTGAATTCATAAAGGAGACGACCCAATTGTATGTTATTTACATTACTTATCAGCCTCTTCACATTTTGGTTGGTTCTGTATACCATCAGTCTTATGCACTATAAACAATCTGTAAGACCATAGCTTAAAAGTACATGCTTATTTTCTGGTGTTTCATTAGCCTAGGGACATAAACCAAGTTCAGTGGTAGCTAGCGTGGAGCAGTCTTTTAAGCATAGTTTTATTGCTAATTAGCTTTTGATTGATTATATATATGATCAGGGGATTAGAGGTTGACTTTGTTCTCCTGGCTGGTTACTTGAAACTTATACCGGTTGAGTTGATACAAGCTTATCCCAGATCCATACTGAACATCCATCCCTCACTTCTTCCAGCATTTGGAGGCAAAGGTCATTACGGTATGAAGGTCCACAAGGCAGTCATAGCTTCTGGGGCAAGGTATGCATCCTTCACCAATATCCAATGACTTTTGAGTCAAACTTCACTATTCGAGTTACATTTTCTGTTTGCCTGTACAGGAAATGTTCTAATATTTTGTAACTTTCATTTTGGTTAGATACACAGGCCCTACAATACATTTTGTCGATGAGCACTATGATACAGGACGTATCCTTGCCCAAAGAGTTGTCCCTGTGCTTGCTAAGGACACTGCCGAGGAGCTGGCAGCAAGGGTTCTTCGGGAGGTAATGCAATGTTTGTCTTGTCTGAACCACTGAATGAATCCGAAGAATCTTTTCTCCGTGTGTTTCATTTTGGATTCTGACCTCTTTCGGGTGCTGGAATCGTAAATGTGTTAGTCTGTGCATTATATTCAATCAAATTTTTTATTCGGCTTCGATGTTGATTTTAGGAGCACTCCTTGTACGTGGAAGTGATAACAGCAGTATGTGAAGAACGGATTGTTTGGAGGGAGGATGGTGTTCCTATTATCCGGAGCAAAGAAAATCCCAACGAATACAGCTAGCAGAACCGAAAGCTTTCATTTTTGAAGAGACTTTGTCCCAGTTCATATACACTACCTGTTACTTGGATGCGCACATTGCATATACTTAAAAAAAGACGGGAAAGGTAGCAGAAAAAGAGCTCTAAGCTCAACCTGTAGCGTGAGTCGTATATATCCTTTTTCTTTACTGCATTATCTGTACAATGGCTAAATAGCCTATGGCAAAAGTGAGGCTGTTTGCTTTGAGAGTTGTAACTGCGTTGGGCCAAGTAGTACCCAAATACAGCAGTAGGGTACTCGTTGTGGGTGGGTCAGATTCCATAGCCTCTGCTAATCTCCGAGCTGCCTTTCCTTCAGCTTGTAACAAGCGCGAGGCCATTATTTGATCGTTCACGGCCTTCGGCTATTTATTTGATGGACGTGTGCCCTATTGGAGCCGCGGCCTTACTTCTTAGTCTTCTTTTTCCAATGTCTACCCATCTCGTATTCTAGCTTTTCTCGACTGTGTCAGTATCCTAAGCTAGTTACGAGTTATAATGCGTTTCAAAATTTTCACCTAACAATATAATTAATTTAAGATACGGCAACAGTTACATTACCTATTATAGGGTTTCTGTTCTTTCGGGTTGAATCTCCAAGGCCCCAAAATCATGAACGTCCAATCCATCCTTTACTCTCCTTTGTATGAAGGGACGGATGAGGATCCCATCCGGATCCAAATGGTGGGGATCTTATTTTAAATTTTATTATTTAAAATTGAACACAAATAGTACCTGACAAAAACTAACCGCATAATATACGATGAACGGTTAAGATCCTCACCATTTGGATCCGGATGGGATCCTCATCCTGACGGGACCCCTCACATTTGGACAGTGTGGATCACAACATCTCCCTTTAAGCCCAACGGGTCCATTTTCGCCACCATATTAATGAAATCAAGAAGATGTACGGCTGAGATCAATCCTAACAAGTCCTTCGAACTTCATACATTATATATGAACAGCCGCTGCTAGGGTTTTGAAAAGCTATCAGACTTCATCTCTCACTCGTTCTCGGCAGCCGCTGAGCATTTCATTTTCTCTCCCGAATTATGAAGTTTTATTTTCATTTTTTTTTGTGGGAAATTTATGGATTTGATGAAAAAAGAAAGCTACTTGTACCAAGAGAAGGGTTTGATTTATAAAAATTCAACATACCCTTTCGCTTGATTTTGGCCAAAAGGGCTGTAGCTATATCGAATTACGAAAGAGAGAAGTTTACTGGCCGGTCGTCGTTCTCCGTCGACAGATCTGCTTACCGAGCTTCTCACAGTTCTTTCTTCCTTCTTTTTCGTATCTAAATTGTTTTATTATTTTTATTTAATTTTTGTGTAATTTAATTTAATTGAATGAGAAGGGGAGAGGAGAGAAATGGCATAGGATTTAGCCTTTTCGCGAGACCCTTCTCTTACATGAACTAAAATTATTCAAATTTTAGGGTTACCTTCCAGGCAAACCTGCTTCGATTTCCCAGGCTGTTTGCGTCTATCGGTGCCCACATTTTTATTCACTTTTCGTGCGGTTGGAATTTTTAATTACAACCTCAATATACACATTTCTTTAAAAGAAAAATAATTATTTTAAAGAAAAACTAATGAAAATAGTTTGAAAATTTTGAATTTTAATGATAAGGGTAAAATAAAGAATAAAATAAAGGATATTGTATTTGATTTTTTAGTGTAAAAATATAATTTTTTATTAAAATAAATAATATCGTGAATTTTTCGTTCAAACTCTCTTATTTTCAACTACTTCAATCGAGTTGGATTTTAATTAGAATTTGTACTCGTATTTGACTGCAAGTGGACGGGTACACTGTTCTAATTTAATAACTAGGATATTAAGGATGGCAATTTGAACTCTTAGCTCCGCTCCATGCTTCGTTTCATAGGAAACCTTAAAACGGCTCTATTTCATTAAAGTGTTTTTGGCTCCACATCATTTGTTCTGTTCCTAATGGGACGAAGACACTATTCTAAATAATTTACTTTTAAGAGTAAATTGTATCAATAATTAATTAACTTTAATTATATTGGAGTAATGATTTCTTAATTAAAAATTCATTACCACTGATCCCTCAACTTATCAAAACATGTAGCTATAGTCCCTCAACTTAAAATTCATTACCAATGGTCCCTTAACTTTTAGAGAAATAGTTCTTTAACTTTAACCCAATTGAAGAAATGTTCTCTCAACTTTAACCTAATCGTAGTAATGGTCATTCCAACATAACTTATTTTGACAAAATTTTGATGAAGTTGACGAAAATGACCATAACTACACGTTTTGATGAGTTTAAGGACTAATGGTAATGCATTTTTAGTTAAAGGATCATTGCTACAATTTACTGTACTTTTACTTGCAATTGAACTGCAAATTACATTTTTGAATTGAAAATTTTGATATATTATAAACATAGGATCGAATTTATCTTGCAATCTATTTTAATCAATAAATAAATATTTATGGATATTTTACATAAATTTTCTCTAATGAAAACTGAGATGGGTATTTTACAGCTGCAACAAGGCCATTAGGGATTAGGCCCGTAACACCAAAATTATAATCTAAGCCCCATTGATTTCTTGACACCTCCAAATCCATGGTTTGATTTATGCCGCTTTGGCGGCGGCTGACGGTGTTACTGAAGTAGTTGTGCGGTTGTAAGATTCAAACCATTTGGCCTGCATGTATCCATTCCGCCGCCATGGCGGCATTGGCATGTCCACGCTCTTCATAGATTTTTTTATTGCCGTGCACATTAGCCTCACGATTTTCTTCAGCTCATCGACTTCTCCGACGAATGTGTTTGGAAAAACTTCGAGGAGCGATGTGTAACGCGTCGTGGGACGAGCAATTTCGAACTGTCCAACAAGGAATGGTTCCACAACGTAACGAGTTCCATTGAGGTTGACATCGACAAACTCGTGGTCCCCTGCTGGAAACCGGCTCGATTTCACCCACTTTGATTTGCAAAGGCCTGCACAAATTGGATGAATAATGTAATTAGTGATTAATCAATCTCATAACGTAATTAAAGTGTATTATTTATTTCTGCCAAATAACAAGAAGAAATTGATTCGTTTTTTCCAAATTTTGGGAACCAAAACATAAATAACACTAAAAGGCAACCCCAGGCAAATAACGCTTCGGTAATCATTCGATCATAGATAAACAACATTTTCGTTGCGCCAAAACTCCTCTTAAAACATAAATAACATTACTAAGCTTATAACTTCACTCACCAGCATCAAAACCCTTGTGGCGCAGGTGAGTCATCAACCTCCTTTTGAACGCCCGGGACGACTTGTCGTCCCCAATGCCGCCAAAGCAACTTCCACCTCATCAGCAATCGTCTTCTTTAAATCATGACCCTTCACATCAAACAATCTCTCCAGAGAATTCTTCGTCTCCGAATCCGACCAATCACCGCCCTCTGAGTCTTCATCGACTAAGTGCTCGTTCTCGTTCCGTACGCCGTCTCGGTGGCCACCGCCTTCTCCCCAATCCCCTCTCTCGATGAAGGACTTGACAAGATCCGACAACTCCCCAAAACTCTCCCCGGCCGCGGAGTACTCGCTTCCGCTGCTCTCGCACAGCCTCACCCGCGCCACCTCGTCGAACGCCGCCGCCACTCTCTGAAACCTCACCGCTACCATTTTTTCCAATTCACAATCGCGAACTATCTCGGCTACCATATATCAACCGTATTGTTCAACTTGGTCGGAATTTCGCACTCCGATTCGCTCTGCTCCCTCCGATCAGATCAGACCATCAATTTTTTATTCGCTTAGGGGAGAAATGATTGGAGCAAATGACCCAATTGGGTGTTTTATATAGATAGAGAGAGACAAAGAGAGTGTTGTCATGGTTTGTTCATGGTGTTTACATAGAAGACCTAAGTCTAGAGAGAGAGAGAGAGAATGAAAATGATGACATTATGTGAAGACGGAAAAGACCTGCAGATATTTATAGGGGTTGATGAGTTTACTGAGTTATGATGAACCTGCCTGTTTTGACGTCTTGGTTACGTTTTCTGGAAGTCGTTTGTTGTAGATAAATAATGGGACCAATATTTTGGGAATTTAGTCACGCTCTTGCGTTAGGTTGCATTTTCTAATTTAAATTTGCACTAAATAAAGGAAGTTTTAACGAAAAATCACAATCATATTTTTACACTAAAAAATTAATCATATTATTATTTACTTTATCTTTTATTTTGTCATTATTGTTAAAACTCAAAGTTTTCAAACTTTTTTCATTACTTTTCATTTAAATAAAAATAAAACTAATGAAAATGACTTAAAAACTTTGAGTTTTAATGATAAGGATAAAATAAAGGGTAAAGTGAATAGTATCAGGATTGCCTTTTTAATGTAAAAATGTGGTTTTTCGTTAAATAAAACAGTACCGGAAGTTTTTCGTTAAAGTTCCCTTAAATAAAATCGTTCCCTAATTATATTTAGGAGATAAGGATGACCAAAAATCAAACTGTAATTACCAAATAAGTGATGGGGATTAATAATTTATTCTGTATAATTCAAAGTTGTACCAATAATTTAGCAGTTGAAGCTTATATAACTAACTGTCTAATACGATATTAGAGTTTTAATATACAATACATGAAAGATTATTCTTGGTTTTCATTTCCGCCTTATGACTCGCAAGTTGCATAGGTGTTGACGTGGTGTACTGCTCGTGTTCCCGTCACAACTAATTTTTTTTTTACTAATTAGCCTACGCATGCATGTGGATTCGTGTACTCTCACACGTGCCAAAGACGTCAGCGTTTCATCTTGGATGTGGCAAATCGAAGCTGATAATCACTATTGGTGTCCAGGTTCAATGAACCTAATTGTGTCCACATGCATTGAATCTAAATTTTTCATCTTGTTCTAAACCAATGTCATTACAAAATTACACTAGTTCTAAAAAAAAACCGTGACCGCACGTGTTAAAATGTTTGACAGCTAAAGTAACAAGAAACTCAAACAAATTGCAGCCATATACAACTAAAAGGCGATCCAAGCTAACAATATTTTTCATTTTACGAAGATTGGGAGAGAACATTTATAGTACGCACTGGCGGATCCATTAAGGGGCAAGGGGGGTCAGCTGACCCCTCGAACTTCGATGAACATTCATAGACACCTTAAGTGCAGATCCTCTGAATTTCGGTGAATATCCATGGATACCTTTGAATGTTGCCCTTTTGAAAATTAGAGTTGGCTTCATATTTGCCCTCCAACCGACTTCAGGCCTACCAAAACCTGATTAATGTCCATGAATACTTTAGGTGCTGCCCCTTGCTTACATTAACATGTCTGTAGTATGCATTTTCAAATGACTTCAGGCCTACCAAGACTCGATGAAATGACAATATGCATGCTATTTCTAGTATAAAAAAAATTTCGGGCTGCGCGCGCTATTCTTACTGACCCCCCCTAATATTATTTCCTGGATCCACCACTGATAGTACGCATAGTGCAATATGGTATTTATCAAACTAAAACATTCAGTAAATTTTCAACTTGAATAGACATGCATGCGTGTGGATGATTGATAGAGTGCAATATAATGTTCAAGCTACATTCGTGTCAGTACTTTAATAAGGAAATTCTTTTACTTTGAACTTTCTCAAGAAAGATACTTGATTAGTCTGGAGTATTGTTATTACAGTAACAATATATTATATATAGAAGTATTTCTTGTAGTGTTAAAGCAACTTTAATAATTGTATTTGTCTAACTTAGTTTGTGGACATTTCGCATTCTATTTGAGTTAACTCTTGTCGTAGTTAATTAAACATATTACGTAGTTTATTTTGACAATATATATATGCGATAAAAGTGCGGGTAAATATCTATAGTTGTCAAAAAAAAAACATTAAAAGGAGGATCCAAATTCGTTGGACGATAAGAGGCCGAATGTATCCATCAGTCAATTTGATCATTTAGTCCTATAAATAGAAACATATTCCAATCCAGCAGCTCTGCGATAGTCTAAGATAATGTATACGACTGCTTTTTCAGCTACATACATTGATTAATCATGTTGCCCTACTCCATTACTCTAAGGGCGTGTTTACGTATCCGTAATCGGAATGAGAATGTGGAATTGAATTCCGATTATGGAGTACTCCGGTGTTTACTAAACATGGAGAAATCAAAAAAGCAGTGATGCCCACACAAATTTTGGAATTGAATTCCTTGTATTGGTGGAATTGGATTCCCTAGATATAAGTGGTAATTCAATTCCTGATTGTTTAGGTAATCGGAATGATACTTTCATTCCCTTTATGCCCTCACTACCTTTTTTTTATTTCCAAGACTATCCTTTATAAACCCATTAAAGTATATAAAATATTTGATTTGGGACAAGGGCATTTTAGTAATCATACTGGTTTATATTCCAATTCTACTGAATTAGTAAACAGCTTTATGAAATTCTATTTCGATTCCAAAACATTTAAATAAACAGCTTCAACAAGAATCCGATTCTGACTACTCCTCATTTCAACTCCTCCTCAATTCAATTCCTCATATTTTCATTACTGTTACGTAAACGTGCCATAAAACTTATATATGTTGCGGGAGCTTTCTTTTTCATCCCCGTATATATATATTAGCATTTTCTATGTACTATATATACTAATTAATTGATCACTGAGTATTTTAACTGAATCAATAGTTTCATATCAAGAAGAAGAAGGAGATTTTTTTTTTAATGTACTCAGGAATACGGAGTGGTATACTATGTTATTATAAAAATTGTGAGACACTTGAAAAATAAAACTTTCCTCCACTTAGCATGTGTCTTCGAGCACGCTGACAAGTTTCTGCAGAAGAAGGGTTAATGCTTAAGGAATAATAATCTTATTAGGCACTGCACACTTCATCTTAGTGGTCGAGCATTTAACAAATACCTCTACGTAATAGTTTATATAATAAAATTTACGTAAAGTAAAGTGCTCTTAACTGTACATACAAATGAGTTTTGTAGTTTAAGTAGTTGAGAATAATATTTTTGAAGACGATGTTCTGTATTCAATCCCCTTCATACGATTCAAGATGAAAATAAAAATTTATCACAAAATACACCTCTAATGTTATTGATGAATACACATATCCCAAATATAATTGACAAAATAAGGTGTAGTAAATTTGCTCCAAACGAGACCAAATTTTGTGTGATGAAACATTGTATACATTGTACTAATAGGTGAGAAAATACAAATGAAATATGGAAAGGGATCATATCCGAATCCCTTCCACCAAATCCATCTCATTAATCAATCCGAGCTCTAGAAATTTGATCTAAAGACTAAAGTTATTATAACCTTTAAAAGAGCTCATTGTTTTTAGCCGTTGAATCAAATTTTAAATGTTCAGATTGATTAATTTGATGAATTTAGTGGAACGGATTCGTAGAGAAACCCTTTCCATGAAATATAATATCGACGTGATTGGTAATTTACACTGACTTTCAAAAACGGACACACTGTTTTAGTTTGTTCACATTACTGCCCATAATGTCAACATTTTGATAACTCAATTCACTTTTGTGTCTAGTCAGAAATCATTCTTGCTAACGTTGCTTTCCATAGTTTCCAAGAAAAAAGTTGCTTTGCATTGTTAACAAGCTACGTCCCTTGTTGATGCTGTGTAAACTTAGCCAGCCCAAAACGTAACAAAATTAAATGGACTTGTTTCACATCTAAAGCCCATTTAAGCCCAGCAAAATAATGGGCTGGGCTATCATTTTAAGTCGGCACCGGCCCAAGCAAGAAATAAAAGGTTATTCCCAAACCACTAAAATTAAAAATTAAAAAAAAAAAGAATAAAGAAGAAGAAGAATCATAACTCACAAGCCGAATCGGTCGCCGAAAAGAGAAGAAAATTTCGGAGACTGGAACGCCATTGAAAGTTTGGGAGGGAGAGAGAGGCAGAGAGTGGCCGCGCCAAAGCACACAAGGAGAATAAGATGAGATCTCTGTCGGCCAAGACGGTGCGTTTTGTTCCTCAATATGCAGACGTAATATCCTTGTTTTATTATGCATAAGCTTGTACTGTTTATCTGATATTTGTTTTTGTTTTGGTTCGATCTTTTTGGTGGGGTTTTCAAGTTTGCTGAGCACGTTCGTTGATCATGGGGTCATGGGGAATGATTGGTTTTTGGTGGGTTTCAAGTTTTTTTTGCTAGATTAGGTGAGCTTTAACGGTTGAGATTGGATCTTATTGTGAATTATCTTGTATTGTATTGCTCGAATTTCTTGTGTTTTCTAGGATAATGTTGCTGGTGTAATCTGGGTTGATGATTTGGTATGTGGGATCTGATTAATTCCTTTTTCCGAATGTGGGTTATTGGTGAAATTTGATGACCCATATGTTGAATTTGCTGGTTTTCATTTGTCATGGTTGATTTTGATCGTGTTGTATGGATCAATATCTGGACTTTTGTTTCGATTTAAGGGAAGTGTTTCTAATATGTTCGGTTCAGTGTTGAAGTTAAAAGAAGTTACGTTTTGCGCGTGATTAATGCGTAGTTGGTTTTAGGATAGTCATAATCGCCTGCTCTCTATGGAAATACATAATTTGATGAACGTGATTTTCGCGATACTGGTGTGGTGTTTTATTTACATTAATTTTTGTGCCAAATTGCTCGCGATACAGATATGGTGCCGATTTGCATTAAGTTTTATGTCAAATCGCTCACAACATTGTCTTATGCTGGTACATGATCTGCAGGTTTTATGAACTCTGCAACGGTTGAAGTAAAAGAGTCGGTTGAGAATATACAAGCATAGAAATAGGAATGGCTGATGGAAGATCAAGCTTCTGGGGTCCTGTCACATCAACGATTGAGTGTTGTGAGAAGAATTATGCCTACTCTTCTTATATTGCGGAATT